AGCTCAGGATAGAAATTTGTTTCTCTTTTTGTTTTTCTCTAAACGAAATTGTTTTTAACAAGAAAGAAATCAATTTAAGTGTAACGCTTACTGACTAGTGATACTGATAAATTTAATAAGACGACAGATGATAAACAATAGTATTATGAAATGTATAATTTGGTTTTGTTAATGGAAATTAAATGAATTACGGCTTGCTAGTTTTAGGAAAGGAGACGCAGCAGGGAAGTTAATGCAGCCGACATTTTTGACGACGATCGTTAATTATGTAATGTCTCTTTAACCGTGCACTATTAAACTATACCAGTATTACTATTTAACAACTTTGGAACATGGAACACCACCATCTATATGGCTATACCAATAGCCAAAAAAAAGCATTGAACCATTTTTATTTTCTTTCTTTCAATCGACAACAGTTTTTAGATTGTGGAATTTTAAATCTCTTAAGAGTGACATATATAGCCCATGGCTATCTCGAAACAAACCCATAATCTTAAAAATTAGTATTAAATAAACTTTCTTCTTTGGTTAATCATAGATTTTAAAAGTTCATTTGGGGAGGACAGATTCATATATTTAGATGAGCTGATGTGTCGATTTGTCGAGCCGTATGCGTCTCACCTTAGGACCATGTTCAGCAATCAAAAACTCCATAACCATAAGAGAATGGAATTACAATGAGATAAAGAGCTCAGGGTTGTAAAAATGGCAAAACTATCAAGATTTGCTTACTGTTTTAGAAGTTCACATGACCATCTATATATGCACTTTCATACTATTTCATTTGCTAAGCAGAGTTTAAGTACAGAGAACATATGTTTGAAGAGACCTTGATATGCTTGCCAAGTATTTTCAGAGGTGATGACTCAAGAATGCATCTTTTTGTTTCATATTATTACAGTTAATGGCCATAGTCTTTCATGCTTTTATTTTATTTTGTATTTCAGGCTTTGTAAGTTCTGAATTTCTGATTTGAAAAGGAGATACGAAGTGCCCACGTTTGTATTTTGCATTTGTTTAAACAGAGGAAATTACTAAACTTACTTATGCAACCAAAATGAAACACTAAATGGGAAACCAGAATTTCTCATTCTGTCAAATCAAGTTGGAACAAAAAAATTAAGCAACTTAAACCTATTATGGGCCCAGAGTAGAATTGAAATCTATGGCAGTCAGATAAATTGAACAATTGGTCAATCATCACACAGTAAAAACATCAAATCATAATTCCACCACAAGACCAAACACCTGAAAGATTTTCAGTTTCTAGTTTCACAAAGATGATGTTTTGTTGTTTTGTTTTAAACAAGACCCACTTCATTTGGTCCTGTCTTCAGAAATTAAAAAAAAGGACACAAGGAGATGTCTATTGAATCATACATAGAAATTACGGCAGATTTTTTTTTTTTTTTCATAAAGAGATAATTTAGTTGAGATTGGGGATCTTCCTTTTAGCCCATGGCATACTTCTGAGTCCAGCTCCGTGCAGTGGACTCATACTTGTTCTTGTCAGTCTTGTACATATGAGCTATCTCAGGCACCAAAGGATCATCCGGGTTTGGATCGGTTAACAAAGAACAGATCGATAACAGCACCTGGTTCATTGCAGAGTTGTAGTTAGAAACTGAAACGAACCATTTCTCATTCTCAACTTAACCTTAAAGACTTCAGAGACGGCTAAATCCTCAATACTACCACTTCTAATAGGCAAAAGAAAAGCCAAAGAACCATATGTTCATAATAAAAGGGTAAGAGCTTAACTACTTAAGAGAATAACGAGCAAACGAGGAGCAGATAACTGAAGAGAGCTCATTTTTTCATCGTAAATGAGTCAAAGCTTAATGATTCTAAAATATGTAGCCAAGTGTTATCACTTCAATTGGAAGCATGTTTGACATGAGTAGATTGTTTGTTACAGCTGCTTCAAGAAGGTTACTAAAAATAAGAAAAAAAACCGAACCTTGGAAATGGTGAGTGCGGGGCTCCACTGCTCCTTCAAGATGTCGAGGCAAATGCTTCCATTGCTGTTAATGTTGGGATGGAACACCTTCGTCCTAAAGGCAACCTAGATTTCGTCACACCAGAACAAAAGAAACAATGAGATAATGAAAGCAACCACAACGAAGAAACATATAAAGCTTCAACAAACACAGACTTTAATGGCAATTATAAAAAGAAAGAAAGAAAACTGGAATCACCTTAGGAGGTTTGAATGGGTAATCTGGAGGGAAATGGATGGTTACAAGGAAAACACCTCCGGCATAAGGACTGTCTGAAGGACCCATTATCGTTGCCTGCCAATGAAACATGTCTTCAGCAACAGGACCTGTAAAGAAGATCCAAAAATCAACAACACAGAAAATATCAAACCACAAAAAGTCGAGGTCTTTGAAACAAAGAGATCAGGTTTCTCTGCACAAGTATTAACCAGATCCTAGAATTACAAGATCTACCCCAGAGAAATCGGAAACGAGGTATACAAATTTTGTTCTAGCCAGAGAAAAGTTAACCAGATCGTAGAAAGTACAGATCAAAAACGAGTTAGGTTTTTGAATCGTTCAAGACTATTTGTAAAACAAAAATGGAGAATCGTCAGGTACTTAGCTCCAGATCGAAACCAAACATCACGTAGACACACGAATCCAAGCAGTAGAACGTTTAAAAAACAGATAAAAACGAAGCAAAACTCGATCCATCATCACCAGCTCGGAGAAACATTTAACTTATGCGATGCGAACTAATCGCACGAATCTCAGAATCCAAACAAAAAAACAAGCACCTGCGCTACATGACGTGGGTGGATCCTTCTGCAGATCCTTCAATTCCTTCAAGATCCGCTTCGACGCCATATCCAAAACCTACGATCTAAAAAAAAACAAAGATTCCAAAACGGATCAGAGAGCCTATAAATCCGTGAGAATTGTAATCGATAGATCCAAAGTCACCCATAAAAATTCATACCGCGTTATCGGATTGGCGAGGTTTTCGCCTTTTTCGTCTCGTTGATAGGAGAAGAAGAACGAAGACTTAGGGGAAAGAGAAGAAGAAGAAATGGTGGTGGACGAAAGCGGAAGAAGTATCGATTCTCTGTGGTCGCGTCCACGATAAATAAGGTGTGGATATTACTTTCTTTGACTAGTGGACTCACTTTTAAGCTCTTATTCGGTGGACCACGCTTTGAAACGACGCGGCGGTTTTTATCAAGTGGCATTTTAAACCGGCGTCGTTTTGAAAAAAGTCATTTAATCTGACGGCTGAGATCTTATCTTTGGATTAAACGAATCATTAGAAGCCACGTCTTCTCTCCCACTTGAGAGAATTTTTTTTCTCAAAGGAAAAGAATCGGGCTGAGAAACGCGAATCGTTCTCGAGTCATCGCCGCCGTGAGGAAATGGACCGGCCGAAGTTCGACGACGAGTCTCCGCCACCTGGTGATGACGGCGGAGATCTTGATCATGTCTTGAGGGAGGAAGATGGAGGGACTCCGGGGCCTTTCGCGGGAGCTAAAGTTAGGAGGAAAGCGTCTCGTTATAGAGAGCACCGTGGTGACTATCTCCACGTCTCCTCTCGTCCTGGATTGATGCGGATCCTGGAGAAACAAGGTTACGTTTGCTCCATTTTTGGTTTTGAATTGAATTGTGAAAATTTTCGAATTCGTACTAGTTTTCTCTATGTTTCATCATCGGATCTAGTTTTACACTTGGATTTCGAAATTTTTGATTCAGCATTTTGCGTATCAATGTGAGAGTTGTTGCTAATTAAAGAAACTCTGGAAGTAGTCAAATCAGCTGTATGATCTTTCTGGATATTGCTAGTTTCTTCTGCTTAGCTTCACATTGCTTTCAAGCTTAAACATGCGTAGCTAGAAAAAAGACTATTGCTTTAATTGTGAGGTTAGTGATGGATATCATCTCTAGTTTCTGTCATTTCATCTCTAACAATGTCGACTTGTATTGATGCTCACAAGTTGTTGATGTTAAATTGTTGTATGTAGGTGACACTTCGATTCTTTTCGCTGATAAAGTGTTGAAGTTCACTGGCTCGGGGAAGATGAAAAGGCGTATCTTTATCCTCACCGACTTTGCTATCTATCTAATTGATCCCGAGACTGAAGCCATGACCCGGAGAATCGCTCTTGCAGCAGTGGAAAAGATGTGTTTGAGCAAACTGAGCGATAACTTCTTCGCCGTCATCATCCCCACGGAATACGATCTGTTCATGGCAAGCACTCGAAAGACTGAACTTGTTCAGGTCATGGTTGATGTGACTAAAAGTGCATCTGACTATGAACTTGAAGTGCTTCTATCTAACAGGTAGACAAATTATATGTTATATGTTTCCCATATAGTAAAAATCTCAGCTATTGTTTATATGTTCGGTTTGTGTTTTACCGCTCATAATGGTTTCCCTGTTCTTCATTCCAGATTTGAGTACAATGCTTCTGCCTCGTTAGTAAAGGAAGTTTCCTTTGAGGAAGCTGAAGGTTAAAAATGAAATAAATTCTGAACAGTCACATTTTGAATCTATCTAAGTTTGTGTGCTGGTTCCTCAAGCACTACTACTACATTTTGCAGGGGGTATCAAGACCAGATTTAAGTGGAAGTGACTACATCTTAATTTTCGTCGGTGTTCATACACTTTGGAGAGGAGCAAGCCCTTTTGCGATTGTGAATGGATTCTTTCCTGTTGACTGCTGAAAGCTGAAATCAGGGCGGTATGTTGTGTATTATATATTCTGTTTCATCTTGTTTTTCTGTTCTTCCCTACAAAAAAACTATGTATTTTTTTTTTATATGAAGAAGTGTATAATTTTCTACAAAATTCATGTGTTCCTTGTCTGGTGTTGCTAGAAAGTGACTGATCAATAACGTCATTCACTAAACCTCTCTGGTTAAGCTATAGCTTGATGCCTTTTTCATAGACTGAAGTGTGAAATATGAAAAACCTTTTTTTTCTGAATGGTCAAGTACATAAAAGGAAAGATGAATGAGTCTTTCTCACAATATATACGGCGATCCTGATAGACTTCCTATTGGAGTTGAGCCTGTGGAAACCTCTGATCTGTATCCGCTAGCTAGCTTCTCCGGTCTTATCTCTTCCACCATTCTCACTACCTCAGTCATGTGTGGTCTCTTTTCCGGCAATCTCGCCGTGCATACCATACCAACCTGAAGCATCTCCACCATCTCTTCCTCTACCTGAGTACACCTCAAAAGCTCTTCATCAAACACCTCTCCGGTCCATTCCTCTCTGACCACCGAGTTCACCCACCTCACCAGGTTAGCCACTTCTGATTTTCCTGTGAGAACCTCGAATATCAACACCCCGAAGCTATATACGTCCGACGGTTGAGTCCCCTTTCTTGTGTCTGTTATCTCTGGTGCACGATAGCCAAACGCATGCCTGGGTAGCGAATGCATCAGCGTGGCCATTCCTGCACCGGAGATGCAGCCGTATCCTTTCGCGTTGAGGAAAACGTTTGAGGATTTTATGTTCCCATGGATTAGTTTGCCTCCGCTTTGTGAGTGGATATGAGCTACTCCTCTTGCTGTTCCATACACCATATTCAATCTTGTTTCCCAATCTAGAGGTTTCCGATTCGTGAGACATCTCTGACCTGAACAGTCATACATACATAGACTTAGTTATGTTGGATATATGGTAAGGATAGTGTAAGAGTAATGAAATGTCCGTAACCACAGGCTAACTTAATTCAACGGTGGCATTGTCAAACATACCGTGTAGTAAAGTTGAAAGACTTCCTTGTTCGTGGTAATCATAAACCACGAGCTTCTCATCTTTAGAGTAGAAATATCCTCTTAGAGTGGCAACATTCTCATGTTTGATGTTGCCGAGCTGTTCAATTTGCTGCTCGAATTCACGCTGAGTCACACAAACTTCCTTGATCCTTTTCACGACGATGGTTGCAGAGTCTTCGAGATCGACCTTGTAGCTTGCCCCGAATGGCCCCTTCCCTAAAACTTCTGCAGAGGATCTCAACAAGTCTTCTAAGTCAAAGACAAGATTCTTCCCTTCGAAAAACACAATCTTGTTATCTCCTTCACCCACGTTTGGATCTGAATCTTTCCTCCTCTTGCTTGGTTTTTCCTTTGTAGATCTTCTTTGATCTTCTCTGTTATGGATGATTACCAATAAGATAGCGAGAAGAGCTAGTATCGCAAAGCACGAGCTTAATGCTATGCCGAGGACTACATGGTTGTGGTGGTGTTTCGTTTCTTTCCTTAATGATGAATGAACAGGAGCCAGCTTCTTTTCGGAGGTAACATTGTTTCCGACAAATGCCGAGAGCGGAAACCTCTGTAATGACTTTGGTACGGTTCCTGTCAGATTGTTGTGAGCTAAGTCGAGCAGCTTCAGACCCGGAGTATGAAGACTCGGAATCTCACCGGAAAACTTGTTACTCGCAAGACTCAGAGATTGTAATCGGGTTAGCTTCTCAAATGATGATGGGATGCTACCATCAAACCGATTGTTAGAGAGATCAAGAACTCGTAGAAGCTCCCAAGAAGAGAGATCAGAAGGCAAAGGACCAGAGAACTCGTTGAAGTCGAGTTTAAGCTCGGTCAAGTTCTTCAAAGCTAGTAAACTTGGAGGAAAAGGTCCAGAGATGTTGTTAGAACTGAGAATCAGAACTTGAAGATTAGTTAACCTGGATATGTTGCTTAGCTCGATACGCCCTCGAAGACCCGTGGCTGCTAAACGAAGAGCGACGACGTTTGAGTGATTTGAGCTGCAGACAACACCGGTCCATTTGGTACATATAGAAAGATTTGGTGACCAGTTTAGTGAATGAGGGTGGTTGATGTTGCTAACGAATTGAAGAAGAGTGTGTTTATCTTCTTTGATCGTCTCTGCTTCTATGCAAAAGATGTTGAAGATTACTCCAACGAGTATTAAAACCGATTTGATTAGGATTACAACTTGGCTCTTCATTTTCAGTGTGTTTTTTTGTTTGTTTGTTTGGGTGGAGAGAAAAAAAACAGGTTTTAAGGGTAAAGTGACGTTATAATGGATGAAGATGAAGAGGTGTGTATATAATAAGTTGTACAATTATTGACTTTTTGTGGGCTATGGAAATAATATTAATAGGTTAAATATTAATTTTATCTGTTTTATTAACGAAAGTGGTTTGCTTTAGGTTAATGTTAGGTTCGGCTAGTTGTTGACTTGATGCCTAACAACTCTGTCTCTGTTTTTGTTTTTTTGTTTGCTTGAGAAGAGAAAATCGCGGTGAAACAACTATTGTTTTTCAAATTTTTGTTACTTTTCTGGCTGTTCTTTTTTTTCTTCCACAATAATTTTCAACTTTCAAACAGTTGATTTTAGTGTGTAACCTAAGTCGTGTTTTTTAACAGTTGGAATTAGAAAAAAAAAATGAAGTTCATGGTTCATGCTAATTGTCGAGTCTCTCTCTCTCTCCCATCTACCCACTCCCACATACAGAAACTCGTTTATAGAATCAATGAGATCAGAGGAAAGAGACGTATATTCGTATTCATGTTTTATTCATTGACTCGAGATAAAGGTTTTGTTTTATATTTCACAGTTTGGAATAACATAGCTTGCGTTATGGTTTTTAAATTATAAAGACTCCATTAAAACATTTATGTTCAACTTTCAGAGTGATTTTGATTGAACTCGTACACGTTGTAGGAGAAAAAAAAAAATTTCTCATGCATTATGTGGATTGTAGCGTTAACCAAAATTTCTATTTTTTTTTGTAAGAATGTTTGAACTCCATGCAAGAATATGAATTGCTGTATGAAAGAGTTCATCAATTTGCAAAATCTTGAATTTTTTTTTTTTGCTAACAACATTTTGACTTTTTGTTGATAACTAGTTTTTATACGAGGATATTTTGAAGGAAACTGTTAGAGAAAGTTCTAGAACCGTCAAATATATTCTCATATATATTTGGGATAATGATCATTTTAGTTAGAGCTAAAAATAGAATCTAATCTAAGTTTATCTTTATATTGTAAACATCTATATAAGCCAGTTGCCTATCATTAATATCAATAACAAGTTCTCCCAAATACATTTATATTATTTTACATGGTATCAGAGCCTTCGATTCTAGAAGATTGAAAATAAAGTTTCCGCTTTATTAGTTTGTGATCTTTTGTTTGAAAACGATCATGGAGAGAGAATGTGAAGATGAAGACGAACCAAAGTGTTTGCGAATCTTTTATACGCTTGTTTATTAAAAAAAATGCGTTTTCAAACTTTGTTTTGTTAACATAATTATTGAGACGTGTTCTCTTTGATTACATTTGGTGTTTTGGTTGCAACGTGATCTCATTATAGTTTCGTTTGAAATGTGATCTCGTGATTGTATTGTTTGAGACATGATCTCAATTATTTTGGTTCTACAAAGTTTTGCAGTTACTTCGGTTGGAAATAATGTGTGTTTTCCAAGTTTATGTCAAGTTCAGTTGAAGAACTTAATATCCAAGTTGGATGTTAATAATTTTCATCCTCCACATTAAGGGGGAGAATCGGAGTATATTGCCATAGTGTGCAAGATGCTGTTCAACATTAGCTTATCACCACAAGACAACCGGATCAATTGGTGGACGTTGGTGGACGTGTTAATCAAAATTTTGGAAGTATCAAAGCATATTCAGATTAATTGGCGAAATATCAGTTTAATAATCTATGTCCAAGTTGAATGTGTATCATTTACACGGTTCAACTTGAGGGAGAGTGTTAGAGAAAGTTATAGAGAGTTCTAGAACCGTCAAATATATTCTCATATATATTTGGGATAATGATCATTTTAGTTAGAGATAAAGATATAATCTAATCTAAGTTTATCTTTATATTGTAAACATCTATATAAAGCAGTTGCCTATCATTAATATCAGTAACAAGTTCTCCCAAATATATTTATGTTATTTTACATGGTATCAGATGATCATTATCCCAAATATATATGAAAATATATTTGACGGTTCTAGAACTCTCTAGAACCTTCTCTAACAGAAACTGCCAATTACTTATTCGATTAATACTTTTCGTCGAACAAAACCTTACTATTTCCAATTTTTAAGTCGATAGTAAATTCTGGTTAGCCAAATTTAGTTATATTGATATTATTCATGTAAAAAGAGATTGCAATTTTCCAATTTATTACCTAGCTAGACATAGTTTGTCACTTAGTCTTTTTACTTCTGGTTGTAATAATCTGCCAAACTGGCTGTTGTCTACTCTATATTCTAACTATAACAAATTTCAATAAATGGTTATGATCTTTGATAAAAGAAAAAAAAAACTAGTTAACAAACTTGTATAAATGTAATCCATAATAGAGAAAATACATAAAAAATAATTAGGGGGACTGATAAAAAACGTGTTTTTTCTCAAAAAGAGCGATAGTGGCGATTTAGATTTTCCCTTCCGCCGCTGTTGGTGTGGCCTCCCGCCGCCGACGAGAATCTTCTCCTTTCTTCCCCCTCTTCTTTTCTCCCATGGCTTCATATCTGTTCGCTCTTCCACCACTGCTGTTCAAACCTCATCCAGATCCGCCGCCAGGTAAGCCCTCAACAGATCTGCGCGAGGGGTTAGTTTTCGTCGAACCTCCCAACCCACCAGATCCTCCAGATCTGGCCGCCACCTTCACATATTCATTGTTCTCTGCCGCAGTTGTCTTCAATCCCCCGACTGTCCCCCTCTTTCATTTGGATCTAGGTTTTCAGCGGCTCGTCCTAGAGCTTGCTTTCCTTGTATCCTCTAGGGATTCGCTATTGACGCTTGGATGTCCTCCTTCTGCAGTATGCAGTCCTCCTGTTCTCTTACCATCCCTCCACCTCGAAAGCATTGATGCTGCCTCTCCACCTCCTCGCCTCGAAGCCTTTCTGTCTCTCCCGCTCCCCCAGGTTTGCTCCTACTCCTCATCCTCTGTTTCTTCAGTCTTGGAACAGCAGTTAACTGGATGGGAAACGCCTGTGTTGTGGAGTCTGGATATGTCCTTTTCCGCCTCAGTGCGGCTTTTTACTGCAGTATGCAGGGTTTGTCCCATTTTTGTTCTTTTCTTATGTGGCAGTTTAGAAAGAACGATTGTCTTAGTAACCCTCTTCTATTGAATTGGATTTTGGACTCCTATAGTCCTCATCTCTCCTTTATGGAGTCTATGTTCCTCCCACATATTTTATTTATTTTGAGTGGTATTGTTTCAGGGAGCATTGTGTCGAAAGTAGTTCTGTTTAGAACAAAAGTCATGAGGCTGTTAGTCTCTTGTTCAGTATTTAATGGTGCTCACGGCTTCACTTTCTCGACTATGGAGTCTGTGTTTCTTCCTCTTGGTGGTTTCCTTTCTCTTGGTGGTTTCGTTCAAGACAACACAGTCTGCTCTTGTCTAGATGTTGCTTCGGTTGAGCTTGTTAGCTCCCGCTTATCCTTGGTTGAGCTTGTTAGCTCTCAGTTATCTCTCTATCTCTGTTTGAGTTATTGTTGTTGTTTTTACCTTTTGTGCTTCACCAAAATGTAGGTGAATGCTCTATTATGTTTGCCTCTTAGTGGCTGGTTGTATCATTTTCTTTTGGAAGAAAAACTTTGTTAAGTTAATGCAAGTAAAAGTTTGACAAAAAAAAAATAGAGAAAATACATAAATTGAAATTGGAAAAATATACATGTTAAAGTAAATAAAATATAAAAATCTATAAGAAACCCAAGTATGATTTTATCATAAAAGAATATATATTTTTGATAGGAAAGTCCAACACACACAAAAAGAAAAAACCCAATCAAGTCAAAGCTGGGGAAAGGATACACGTATCGTCAAATCCAAACAGATCTCATCGCCTTCGAGACTTGTTCGTCGCTGATTTCTTCGATTCCGTCGTCACTTCTCTGCGAATTATTATTCGAAACGATGGATTACGACATCAGGAACAAGTCTGGCCCTCCCTACGGTCGCCCTATGTACGGACCTCCCTCGACGTCTCCTTCTCCAGCATCTAGCCACCCTATGTACGCCCCTTCGCCTTCGGGATACCCGAAGATCGGCCAACAAAGCGGCCACGGCCAACCGTTTTTCCCTCCGCCGGAGAGAAACTCCTCCTTTCAACATTCCTCTTCTCCGTTCCCTCCTTCTTCTTCTTCATGTAAGTCTCGTCTGATCTCGAATCTCCCCCTTTGTTTCTGGTTTTCGCTTACCTCTTTGATCCCGTCTGATGTTTGTACGATTTGTAGCTGATGCTCGTTGATTTTGTGATATTTTGGCAGCTGGATTGGGAATTAAGGTGACTCTGAAGCCAGAGTATAGGATTACTCCTCCGGTAAGAGATTCTGTACAACACTCTTATTGAATTTTGGATTCAGATATCAAAGATCATACTCAAATTTCCACTGCTCGATCTTCATTACCTCTGGAATTTAGAGAAGAAGAAAGCGAACTTCAGTAGAATTCTAGTTTGAGATATGAAAGATGATTGCTCAAATTTTCCACTGCTTGCTGATTGATGATTTGATAGTAGTTAAAACAGACATTCTCATGGACTGTAATTGCAAATGTTTCAGCCTCATTTGTTGCCTCGAGCCGGAGATATTCCCCGGAGCGGGTTTCAGTTCGATTTCGGTTTGGAAAAGAAAGTCCTTGCGGAGGCGGAGAAAGATAATCCAGATTGGAGCAAATTTGGGACCGAGAATCCTCCACCTGCTAATTTTCCAGATCCACCAACACCTTCAGCGGTAAGTCTCCTCCTTCATGGAAGCTAACAAGTGTAGTTAGATCATCATCTATTGAATAGAACAGATTTGGTTTGTGCCAATATTAGATTTGTGGATCACAGTGTGTGATACTAAGATTTTGTCGCAACCTCTATTCCTTGCATGATCATCATTAATAAGGGATTCCAATTTGCAGGGTGTAGATCCTGTAGTGATGAAATATGCTGCGTCTGGGCTCAATCGTGAAGCTGTTAGCATTGCAGTTGCAAACTATGGTGATAACCCCACAAAGGTGCTTTATCTTATCTTGTATGCATTCAAATCTTGGATTAGGCTAAAAAGCTACACAGCTTTGTAGTAAATTAGTGGTTGCAGCCATCTTGCTTCTTCTTCACCAAAGTAGAGAATCTAATTACAGTCGTTTTTTTTTTTTTTTTTGTATGCATTTTCAGGTTCAGGAGTTTGCAAATGGGTTTACAGCGATACGTGAGATGGGATTTCCAACAAACGCAGTTGCAGACGCTCTCTTCATGTTTGAGAACGATACTGAAAAAGCATTGGCACATTTGCTCCATGGTTCTACTTGAATGTATCTTTCAAATACTGTTCTTGTAGTTATATAATAAGACAGCAGATTTGATAAAACATACACATTAAGAAAGTATAGATATTGGGGTTTTTTTTTGGTTTAACGTGTGTAAATGAAATGATTTGTTTTGGTGAACAATACTTTGTCTGTTACTTCCACTTAATAGCTACTGGTAATCCAAAACCTAAACTGTGCATTATACAATAAGTGATGCCACAACCCACAAAGGGCAAAATCTTGTAAAACAATGATGAAGTTTAAGATACATAAGAGAAAATTGTGCAATTGTAGTAATTTGCAGACAAGTATCTATAAGCCTCACACTTGGATTCGTCTCTATAAATTTTGGTCCTATACTACACTCCTGCGCAGATAGCTTCTGCAACATACGATAAGGAAATTCGATAAGGAAATTAGAAATATGTAACCAAACACAACCACACTGAAAAATAATGAAATAAGTAAAATGTTTGAGTAGATAAGATACCTGAAGACCAAGCTGAGCAGCAGAACTTTCCTTCATCTACATGTTTGACATCGAGACCCACGAACCATGAACCCGTGCTGACGTCATCATGAGCATACGCATGAAGAATGTCTCTGTCACAATCCCAAATCATCATCATCATACAAAACGAACAACAGACAAAATCGTCTCAGTTTCATATCTCTGTGTGTGAATGCATGAAAAGATGCGAGTAGCTGAGAGTCAAAACTGACCTGTTGATCGAGACAAATCTAGCCAATGCATGCGTTATAACGTACATCTCCCCATAAGCATGCCGGAAGTATCTGTGAGATACATAAATCAAGTTTCAGGTGATTCTTTGTCACATAGAAGAAATGAATCTTATGAATATTATTATGTGATCTTGCATTTGTTATGATTGTTGTTAAACTTACGCTTTCTTGTCACCGAATTTCCACCATTCTGGTTCATACCATTTGTGGTTCCTGCCAGAAAAAAAAGCCAAACTTACATTAATACTGATACTAAGATCTCTTTTGGTCATAGTGGTGTTGGGGTTCTAAAAGCTAAAGCTCACGGTTCTGAGAAAACTTCGCCCGATTTCATGCAACCGATGTAAGCCCGTGGGCTCCCCAGATGTGCTGCAAGTGTACTTCCAAGAGCATCTGCATTGGATCAATTACATTCATACCCATTGTAATGTCAGGAAACCTTTACATGGAAACTCTCTTGATCTTAGAACTTGCGCAAGATCATCACAAACTGTACTGTGAGCTTCTTGATATATTGTGTCTATGTGGACAATGTAACAGTTTGGAAATTAATTCAACTAAGACAATGATGTTGGGAACCCAAGAAGAATGAGATTCACAATCAAACTACATTATCCATATTTTACAATCAACCCAAGAAACACAAACAACCAAAGGTTTCAGCTGTAAAACAATATCTTTCTGCTACTAACTTACCCATATTTACGTAGATATTATCGTTAGCCTTTGCATAAAACTGAGCATCCCACTTATCCGCAGCATAGGCAAAAAACATTTTCACCTTCTTAGAAGCTTCCTCGGGAGACTCAACTACATTATCCTGAAAAAAACATTAAATGGAACAAGCTCCTCAGACTAACACAGTGAGCTAATAAAATGAATGCTCGAGGTAATAACAAACATACAACGAGTCTGAAATCACATACAAGAATAATGAAGTCATCGGTTTGACTGTTTTCAGCGTCAATGCTTTTGTCCATGGTGTCCCCTTTGTTTGCACTACATAACAACACAAAAATAACGTTTCAAAAAACAAGATCCCAGTATATAAGCGTATAACCATCATTACAGGCATAGATAAATCAAAGAGTGATAAAACCCAATTCAAACCTTCTTCCAATAACAAATCGTGCAATCACACCCTTTTCAGTCTCAATTTTTTTCAATGATGAACCTGCAACAGAAAAAAAAAGAACCTATTAAGCTCCCAATAACAACAAGTGTCTTTCAGTAAGAAGAAGAACATACGAGCTAAAGCAAATATTCTACGCAATCTCACCAAGGCAACTAAAAGATAAAACCATACCTGTCCCCATCCATGCTTGCCGGACTGCGTCTCTTTTCTTCTTGTTGCCCAAAGTTGTCATTATACCGATTACCACTAATGGTCTCTTCTTGGTGTCACTTCCATCAGTATGTTGGGGATTTTTTGGAACGAAACCTTCTTGCCTTGCTGCACTTAGTTCCATCTCAAGAGCTGCTAGTGTCTTCTTCTGTTCCCTAAATTGAAAACTCTACGTTCTTAAGTCCATGGAGACTAGAAAACTCAAAGGTAAGCAAATCGTACAAAGCACCATATATCACCTGCAAGCTATGATCTTCAAAGTATCATCCACTGATATGGCGGATTTTCCCTGAAAGAGCCCATAGAAGGAAAAGCATTAGCATTTAAGTACATTACGCCGACGCAAGACAAAAGATTCAAGGACAGTGATCACAAACGAAACCATCCCTGGCATGATTTTTGTAATCAGAAACAGGCATAAATACTCTATGATGTAATGCAATCTAAGGGAAATTAACAAAAGAGAAGTTCTTTAAGTCTACTAGACGATCACATTCACAAGCATGAAACTGACAATCCAAATAGTACTAACCTGTCCAGTGACCCTGTCGAGCTCCTTGATAAGATGAACTCTAGTTTGGGATTCTTGCCATAATCTATCTCAAACAAAGAGACGAGAGAGCGCAATTCAAAAAAACGTTTGCAATCAAATAGAATTTTACAGGAAACACAAGCAATTGTTCACCGATTGATAAATGCAGATTAAGAACTAACCGGCCTGCTACATAGAAGGAAGCGAAAGTTGCGAACATGGAGAGCAAAAGGGTAGATATTCTCGAGCTCGATAATCTGATACTCGACCCTTTCCTCGCCATTTTCACCCCAACTCTTCTTCAGCGCGAGGGAAACAGATCCAAAGAACCAGATCTCTTAATCAAAGCAATCAAAAATCTTTAAACCACGACGCAAATGCCTTGTCCTTTATAAAGTTCCTCGCTTTTTCACTTCAGATCTTCGCAAAAGTTCACTAATCAACGCTCCAGAAATCGAGGTTTCTGGATTTCGCTGATTCGTCGTCACTTTTAAAAACTAATTTACGAATGCGTCGTTGGATCTGCTGTTCCGGTGAGAGAGATTCACCAGAGAAACGGCGAGGCCACTCCGTCGCCTATGATTCAGGAAACTAACTCCGATCAAACTCCTTGGAGAAGATTGGAATCCGGATTGAAAAATCAGAGAGATAATAAGAGGGAAGTGCCGTTGAGAAGAAGGAGAAGAGATTTATGATTTCGATCAGAAAAAGTTTTGGCCTGCGAATTGTTATTATCCTTTTAATTACTTTTATCAGTTTTCAACTCAATCACCAAACCTCTCTATTGTAGGAGGAAACTAATAAAGATACTTTTAATTAACCTGCATATGCATGAACAAGCATTTAAATATTTTGAACTATATTATACAAACCTTACATTTTTTTCCTTAAATTTTGTAAGATAAAAAATGTATCATTGGCTCAGTTTGAGTAATTTTGGATTTCTCCCGATGGATCTTAATATCTTATCCATGGATCCGTCATGTATGATGCTTGAGGAGTTTCTGTGATCATCATTGCCATTTGATTCTTCGGTTCCATTTTATACTGAGCTCGTTTTCTTATTTACGACACAAAACTCTCAATACATCACAAATAGACAAAAATAACAAAATTTGTTGATTTAATTTTGTTGTTATTGGTTTAATTTGATCATTAATTTGTTGCTATGGCAATAAGAAGACCATGTGCTCTTTATCCGGCGGTTGAAAAACCTGCTTAAACGAGCCGAGACGACGACGTTTCGAAAACCATGGGCCGTCAATGCTCTCGTCAAACTCTTACCAGAAGATGAATTTTAGATATTCTCTTACAAAATCGATTTTGCGTTTCTTCAGAGAATTCATCCTTTCCGTGTGCTTCACAACTTCATCATCTCTTAAATAACTGCGTCATCAAACGAAAACCCTTGCACAAAAGTTTCAGTTTTTTTTTCTTCATTTCTTGCATACCCATCTACAAAAATCTCATTTTGATTCTCGATCGGATTATGTTGATAATCAATTGCTGAAATATTTCTTTTTTTTCCTGATTTCCCCGCACCGTTGATTTATCTGTGAAACTACCGCCATGGCCGCGGCTTTAAGGTCCAACACCTCGAGAGAAACCGCTTCTCTCACACTCTCTCACTTCAGATACTTCATTTTCAACCGCGTCCACACCGCTCGAACCGCGACTCCTCACTGCAATCACCGTAACGGAACCGATGACCCATCAAACAAATTCCCCGACCAAATCGCCTCTCTCAAGCCTATGGTGGATAATCGAGGAGAGAGACGGACTCCGATCAAGGGCTACGCCACGAATTGTGTAAGGTCTCCTATTCTGAGCTCGCAAGGAGACCCACCGGATCTGTGGCAGCCTCCGGGAGATGGAGTTTCCGTCAGGGTCAATGGCTCGAGCGTTAATCTCGGTCGTGTCGGCGGTGGTGGTGGTGGTGGCGGTGGCGGAAGCAGTCCCGGTGCTGGTAACGCAACAGGGTCGAACTCGAAAGAGGATTCTTGGGGTGGATCCAATCTCGGGCCCAGCTTTCCAACGCCAAAGGAGATATGCAAAGGTTTGAACAAGTTCGTGATTGGTCAGGAAAGAGCCAAAAAGGTGAAAATGATGATACTTTGATCTGAAAAAAATGGCTTTTATTTTTCGTTACTTAGTATAGAGTTTATGAGATTAGAGAGTTTGGCTCAATTCAATTTCCTAACCATCTAAGTGTTTATTGTGTCATCAGGTGCTTTCAGTGGCGGTTTACAATCACTACAAGAGGATATACTACGAATCATTACAGAAACGGTTAGTTTACACTTTATACTCTCTTATGCTTACGTGAATGCAATGTTGTGATATGTTAGTTAATGTTGTTGGGGAAGCTAGGTCGACGGGA